AAAAAAAAAAAAAAAAAAAAAAAAAAAAAAAAAAAAAAAAAAAAAAAAAAAAAAAAAAACAAAAAAAAAAAAAAAAACATGCCAACAATTCCAAAAATACCAAAGACTTCAAGGGAATATTAAACAATTATTGAATATCTTCAGTCAAAGACCATTCCAGATGATATTCAACAGGAGCCTACAAAAAAATCCAATTTTATTTGTCGCTGCAAAAAATTTGAAGTCGACGAAAATAGCTTTCTTTATGTTCGGCCGGTTGTGAAGGATGGTTTAACATTGGAAAAACGCCAAGTAGTCCCTAAGTATGATGAAGAGATGCATGCCCTAATTTTGAAATGTTTTTATAATCATGCAAACCACCAGGAGTACCATAAAACTTTTTTCGCAATTTCAGAGAAACATATTAGAATTATGCAAGAGGAAGTAAAAGTGTATATGAACCATTGCACTGCTTGCACTGTAACTACCTCTATCAAAGAAAAAATTGACATGAGAAACGTGGTATCAACAGCACTATGGCAGCATGTTTAAATTAACCTAATCAACTTTTGAGATTTTGCTAAAGTTAATGACGATTTCTCGTGGCTGCTCACATGTATCTGTGTGTTCTCTAAATTTTTGGTTGCAGTTTCTATGAAGAATAAGGAAGCAAATATGGTTGCTATGCATCTCCTAAAAGATGTTTTTAAGATTCTTGGACCTCCTACAATTCTTCAAAGCAACAATGATAAGGAATTTGTTGCAAGAATTATCACTGAAATTTGTAGTACTCTCAATATTACAATTAGGCACGGTAGATCTCACCACCCACAGTCACAAGGCCAAGTTGAACGACTTAATCAGACTGTAGGTCACGGGTTTACTAAGTTGCTTTGGGATCAAAATAATCAGTTATAGAGAAAGGACTGAATTAATGTAATCGATGTGTTTGTCATGTTATATAATTCAACTGTTCACAAAGCACATGGTCATACACCACATGAAGCAATGTTTGGATAGAAAATGCATTGTATATACGATACACCTGGTCTATATCTTTTTAACACAAAGTCTAGAGGTGTGAACACAATGCTGCAATTTGATGTAATTATAATGAGTTACAACATTTTTTTGTAACTTATTATAATTATGACAAATTATGTCATTGCATTTACACCTCTGCTCAAATTAAAACTTAAATTGCAACTACTAAACATATGATTTTTATTTGTAACAGATACTTCCAGAACCACCGCTGTATTTGAAACTTCTACTGTTGAAACCACCACCATCTCTGGAACCACTCCTGCCTCTGAGACCACCACTACTGCTTCTGAGACCACCATTACCGCCTCTGAGACTGCCTCTAAGACCATCTTTGAGACCACCTCTGAGATCACTACAACCACCTCTGTAACCACTCCTACCTTTAAGACCACCTTTGAGACCATCTTTGAGACCACCTTTGAGACCACCACCTCTGAGACTACTGCTCCTGGAATTATAACCAATGAAGATGCTATAGAACAACACATTTTATATATGCTCGAAATGTGCCAATCTATAAGTGCATCATTTGAAAAGTATTATGCAAAATTAGGCCATAATAGTGTACATAGAAAAAAATCGGCAAACAATAGAATCGAAGCTGGAACTGAAGTTGCAATTGCACCCGATCATGATATGAATCAACAAACTCGCAAGAGAAAGTTGCAACTGACCTTTTCAGCACAAGGTGTCTTCAAGTCTCTCAAGTTAAATAATCATACTGCAGTTGTTGAAGTGAATGATAAAGATATTCGAGTTCCTGTTAAACAGGTCTGGGCTATAAAGAAGCTATAATTGATTTATAGGAGTTTTTTTAAACCGAATTTTGAATTAGAGGATCAGATATATAAACCGAATTAGTTCGAGACCACTGCAGATAGTTTAGGGTTATGATGAAGTGAAAAGTTTTTGCCTCAACCCCTTTTTTATTATAATAAAATCATTGATGTTACATGATATTTTGCAAAATAATAGTGTTAAGCTACTCTAGTATGACTATATAAAATGCACCAATCAGAGTTAAAAAACTGCATATAACATTTATGAAACTACTTTCTATCTACTAATAAAAAAAATTCTTGTAAAATTTTGATGACATAGCACAAACATTTTATTACATTGAGATTAGATTCTCCTAGCATAGCCATCAAAAAAATTTTGAGTATGTGATATCAGAAAAATGTGATAATGTTAGGATTAGCCTTACTTTAGGGTTAGAAGTTAGCGAGATAGTAGTAAAATCACTTAAGAAAGACTTTGGTTAATAGGAGGAACCGTTAATGTTACATGACTGATCCTTCACCCAGCATGCAACATATTGTATAAAAAAATTATTTTACAATACCAGATCATTCTGGCTATTACATATTATTATTATAATCCCAAATAGTATGGGTTTATAATTATAGCATGTACTAGCAGAATGATCTGGTATTGTAAAATAATTTCTTTATATGTTGCATACTGGGTAAAGGCTTCTTCTGTTACTTTTGTTAGAGCTTTTTATGCTGATTTTTGAGCTATGAGTGACTTTTGGCAAAATGAACGTTTGCTTTGAATTTAGTAGTAAAATCACTCAAGAAAGACTTTTAGTTAGAGCACTAAAGGTGATTTTTATGCTAATTTTTGAGTTATGAGCAATTTTTGGCAAAATGAATGTTTGCATTGAATTTCCTGATCATGCTACAGTACACTAAACTAAGATTAGCTATTGGTTAGTTTGTTGTCGATCATCACGTGCTTAAGGTTAGTTTAGATCACCTGATTTGTTATACGAGATTCAAAAATCTGAAATAAATAGTGACACACCTCAATTTGCACAATCAAATGATGGATGCACTTCAGATTTGTTTATATGAAGATTATCCTGTGATCACATGAATTTCAGCATCATCTGATTTCAGCATCATCCCCGACAGTAAATATTAGCATAATACAGGTTGCACATAAACAACTCAAAGAAGAAATTATACAAGATAGAAACCCAATAAATAAATCAAATAGATTAGGCTATTGACACAGACATTATGTACTACATTAAGAGAGCAGATGATAAAAATTAATGATATTTAAATCCTAAATTGTTAAATCAAATTCCAATAATGCCTGCAAAAGAACCAAGCAATGTAGAGCATATAGCAAAGGATCTAGCAATAAACAACCCAAACTATATTACACTAAGTAATGTATTACTTTATAGACAAATTTTTAAAGCCTTGAGTTTAGCAGAATTAAGCTGACTCAAAAAAGATATAATAAATGAATGAGTACAAAGACTTAGGCTGTTGAATCAAAACCCAAAGTTAGTTAAATATATTACAAACATGAATAAAGAAGAAATACTTAAAGAAGAAAGAAAAATAGAAAAAATAAAAAAACTAAACAGTATAAAAAAGATACAAACATTAATAACAAAAAAAAAACATCAAGATGTAGCAAGAGAAGAAATATTACAAGAAAAACCAATTCAAATGATAAATAAAATCATTAGCCAAATAGAGAAGCTTAACATTAATACACTACAAGATATACAACAAAGAAGTTCTTCATCAAGTACAAACCAAACTCTTATAAACAAATTAAATGAAGCAGAAGAAACAAGAGAAAAAAAGATAAAGAAAAACACAGAAGCTCCAAGAGATAGCATTATTCAAGATGTTATAAAAAATATAGAAAACATTAACAAAAAAATAATAGAATTAAAAGAAAAAAACATAACATATAAAGATTTAATCTTTATTGACACAATTGAATATAGCTAATAGTTATCAAAAAATAAAATATATAATAAGGACATGTCTTCAAAGCAAACATGCCTGCATACATCTTGCCTGGAGAAACAAGTAATAAAAAAATAAAATATATGTAATAGATTTTGGACAAAGACCATTATATTAAGACAATTAAAGAAGTTTTTAAGAATAGAAACAACTGAGTAAAAGTAGACTTTGATTGCAAACATAGTTAAGATGCAGCAATAAACAGAATTCAAGAAAAAGAAGATAAATGGCTCAAGCTCATCCCAGAAAAAGAGAGGAACAAAGAATCAAAACTTGAACAACAAGTCAAAAACAACAACAAGAAATAGAAAGAAAGATACAAAAGCCAATCAAGAAGAGAAGAATATAAGAAAAAAAAGAACTTGTTTATAACAGAAAATGAAATAAATTTATACAACTGTTTTACAATATGGAACCTACTTGTGAATATCAATGCAGAGGAAATTAGATATATGTGCAAAAGCTTTAAGAAAATACAAATAAGACATATTAAAAGATCTAAACACAAGGCATTAGCAGTAGTTTAAGCAGATCAACTTACTAATAAGAATATTCCATGAACTTTGCCAATTGGTGTTTACAAGTTGGCAAGAGTAACCAAAAGTAATAAAGATTACATACAATGTGATCTTTAAAACTTGTTCACAACAAGACTAACAGAGCTCTTAGACAATGTTTCAAAAGTATTGCTACTATGCTGCTTAAAAAACAAGGAAGCAAAATTAATTTACATACCATCTAACAGAAATAAAAACTAAAGAAGAGCAGCAACAATCATCTTTGTATCAGAAGAAGAAATGGAAATAGCACAATCCAAACCAATAAGATTTAATAACCACCTTTTATATTGGAAAAACTTTCAAAAAAGTAGAATAGAAAAAAAGAAGATAGTAGCAGTTAAAGAAAAAAGACATTTATCAACATAAATGAAGAAAAGTATAAGGTTAACAAAAAAGAAACAACTAAAAGAAAAAACAATAACAACAAAAATGGCAGTTGAATAAAACAAACAGAAGATAATGATTTCAATCTACAAATGCAAGATTTGCTTCAAAATATTCTAGAAAAAACTAGACAAACTTGAAGTTCAGCAAGACAAATCAATAAAAAAAATACAGCTAAGGACAAGAGATAGCCCAGTTGATTACTTCTAAGAGTACCTCAGTTGAACTAATAAAAATGAATAAGGAGCTTGAAGGTTTTCTACAAAGAGAAAAAGAAATATATGAGAAAAGCATAACAACTTTTTACTGAAAAAAAAAGAAAACTAGAAAAGGAAAAGAAAAAATAGAAAACATCAAAGCAAAACAAGATTAATTAAAAAAGAAATAGAAGCAAGAAAAGAAAGAGATTAAAATAGCATGTCATAATATTAATAGACTAAAAACCAATAAGTAAAAGCTTGAAAATTTGCTTGGCTAGACAAAAAAAGAGGAAATTGCAATATTAGAAGTCATAGAAACAAATATTACTAAAAGAGAAGAAAGGTTTTTGGCATATGCATCAAACAAATATTATATAGAATACTAAACAAATATAGCAGAAGATAAGAAAAAAGGATCAAGAGTAGAAATTCTAATAGAAGAACAATAGAAAAAGCATGTAGATGCAGTTAAAAGAATAAATAAATACATGATAGAGATCACATTATACTTCAAATAATTGAAGTTAATAGTAATAAGAGTCTATATACCACCAAGTAACAAAATGATAGAGAAAAACATCCAACAAAAGATTATAGAGATGGTTACTAAATAGAAAAGACAAATGTAAGTTGTGATTATAGGTAACTTTAATCATATAACAGACAATATATTAGACAGATAACATCTACAATCAGCAAATTTCAAAAGACTATTAATCTTTAATTAGATAAGAAAACAAAACTTTATAGAAACATATAGAAATATACATTTAATAAGCCAAAAGTACACATGGTCAAACAAAGAAGCTGCAATAAGAATTGACTATATTTGGATATCAGAAGAATTGGCCTTGGGTTTGCAAAAGACAAACATTGAGAAAACAGAAGAAATTACAGAGAGTAATTATAAAATTATAACTATGAAAATATGAATTAAACATATAATAAAGAGAAACAGTAAAGCAGAAGTTAAAAGAAAAAAACAATCAAGAACATTATATCTATATAATCAGGCAAAACCAGAAAATTGAGAAAATTATGTGCAGGAGCTGCAAAAATAATTAGAAGTAAAAAAAAGTCTAAAAAATATCCAAACAGAGGTGCAAGATATAGAGAAATATATAAACAAAATAAACAGTATATGGGATACTATAAAAGAAACAATTATCACTGCAGCTAATAAGTATATACCCAAAAAAAGAATATACAACATAATGGCAAATAGAAAAACCAGTCAAAAAATACAACAAGAAAAAGATATTATAAAGTTACAAAAATTAATCAAATATGCAAAAATAAGAAAAGACCAAGAAGTAACAGAAAAAGAAAGAAGTAGAACAAATAAACAATTAAAAGCACTAGGCAACAAGATAGATGCAAAACTGTCAAAATTACAGAGGTATTGGTCATATACCTAGATAGAAGATATAAAAAAATGGCAAAAGCTCTAATAGGAAAAAAAGAAGAAAGACTAAGAACAAATACAAAAAAG